GGTCCGTGATGGGCTTTTCCGAGTGAAAAGTTAAGTTTGTTTGTTTGTTTGTTTGTTTGTTTGTTTTCCAAGTGGCGCGTGGCCTTACCGAAGCTTTTCTGGCTTTTGTAACGGCTTTCCTCTCCCCCGCCCGCCGCGCAGGGGCGACATGGCGCTGAGCGCGGATCAGGTGAACCTGATCGGGCAGGTCTTCGAGTCCTACGTGCTGGAGTACCACCGGGAGGACATCCTGGGCATCCTGAGGGAGGCGGACGAGGAGGCCCACTACCCCGTCGTCGTCGACGCCTTGCCGCTCTTCGAGGCCAACATGGGAGTATTTCAACGCCTTCCCCAGCGAGGTCTTGCCGGTTTTCGACAGCGCGCTGCGCCGGGCCGCCCTGGCAGCTCTGCAGACCGTCACTGCCGCCGCCACCGCCACCCCTCCACAGCTCAGCGTGAAGCAGAACCTCCACGCCAGGGTGTCGGGTGAGTGGTGGGGCTTCTCCCCGTCAGCGTGGCCCAGTGCACTTGTTCTGTAATGAGCTATTGGGCATCAAGGGAAGGAGCACGTGTAATTCCTGCAGTTTGAGTGTTTAAACCAAGAGTGAATGGCTGGTGTTTATTAAAACGGAAAAGAACACGTGGAGTTGCATAGACCAACCTGGAAGAAAGCTGTGGTCGTCCCTGGTGGCGTGCCTGCAGTGGTTGGCGTTTGTTGCTGGGTTGGGACTTACACCAAAGCCTTTGTGTGGCAGAAAGACTCCTCAAATCAGCGGCTGGTCTCGCATTATTTCTCTTGTTAGCCAGAAGGTCTAAAGAAAACAAAAAAAAATTGAAGGGGAAGATACGTAGTTCGTAGATTCTCTTGCAGGTTGACTTCCTTACCGGGTCAGTTGGCTCACGGTCTCTGTCAGCGCCACCCATCTACCAGAACAGGCAAAGATTAAATTTTGAGTTGTCGTCTAACAATTTAATCTGAAATTGTCAAATTTTTACGCTTAATTAATTGTTATAAAATTGCTTGTTACAAAATTGGAATGAACTGTTGGAAGGCATGATCGTTGATAGATGATTTTGTCCTTTTTTCCACTACCAGTTGATAAGCCATTATTCTTTATTACTAGGAAGTTTTTAGTAGCTTTGAGGTGTGGTAAGTGTGGAGTGCAGGTTCTGGGGTTAAAATGCCTATTTTGCTTATTGTGGGAAACTGGGTCAACAGTGGCACAGTCCCTTCTGGTCATTACAGATGGTAACTATTTGGAGCTGTCTAGGCTGCAAAGTCAAGAGCTGGCGACCCGTGTTTCTCTCCCCTGCCCCGTGTTGGAGTGGTTTGTGATCATTCATTCTTTTGGCAGCTTGAACTTGGATGAATCACAGTTGTTAAATAGACTTGTCTTTTGTCCCAGTAGGTTCCATTAAAAATATTGTCATTAAAACATATACATCAGAAATATAATTAGCCTGTGGCTCTCATAATGCTATTTTCTCCAGGTTTCTAAGGGGGGGAGGGGGGGGAGGGAGGTGTAATGACGGTTGTATACAACTGCAGAGTGTGTGGTGTAAAAGGATGGCCTCTGTGTTGTACTACAATTTGAAATGTCAGGCATTTCCCTGTACCTATAAAAGCTATAAAAACTTTCCCCCTAGTGTTCTAGGATGCATTTGCGTCATTCAGGGCTTCAGCATGAAAACAGAATTCTTTTTACTCCAAGTATGATTATTTTATAAGCTACCAGGAAGTATTAGAGGGAGTAAAGGGGCAAATGATCGCTGCGTGAGTAGTGGTGTCTTTAAGACGTTCCTGCTCCTATTATCAGGCTATTGCTGGAGCTGCCCATTTCTTCCACAGTGATGTTTTTTTCTAAATATTCCCTAATCAACCTCAGGCAAAATTAGCGACGTTTGGTCAAATAGTTTTAATAACTGATAAAAGCAAGTCTGACTGATCATTGATGGAAAAAGGTAGTCGGCAGACTCACAAATTCATCACTAAACAGGAGGGAAAGGGCAGGGGAGTGGTTATCCTCATGTGATCCAGCTGGATCAAAAGAACATCTGTCCATGTAGTTTGGTTTGTGTTCTGTACCATTAAAAGGCTGGCTGCTGAAGAATCAAAAGCAGTAAGCTAAATGATCTATAGGCTTTTTTCTGCCTAAATTTCCCCATGATACTGTCACTTTTTAAGTGGATGCTGGCTTCTGATTGCCTTCAGGATTGTTGTCTTGGAGTGCAGCTTCCCATTCCCATGTCAAATGGGAATGAGGAGAAGGTGGTGTACTCTTCTTGGTGGGAGCGGCAGGCACCTACCCAGAGTGGGGCTGAGGGGATCTGCGTGTCAGGCTTGGACCGAAGTGAGGAAAAGTGTTTTTGCTTATGCTAGGTATAAGAATGCAATCTTAGCTTGCTCATACCAGTATGGACAGGGCATCTAGGACTTCAAAGAAGGACTGAAGGAGTGTCAATATGCAGTGATTAATATGGATGATTACCCTGGGTTCACTGAAGAAAGTAAAAGATTAAGTACTTTATCTGAATTTTAGCATTGTAGGAAATTGATTGTATAACACCTCCTTTTGCTACGAATCCATTAAAAGATTTTTCCTTACTGACTGTTAGCCTGAGCACCGCTGTGTCTGATACTGATGACCAAGCTGCTTCTAATAGTTCAGTTTTACACATTATTATTAATATAGTAAAGCTGATTCAAGGAGGCACATACTTAATAAAGAGTTTGTCAAGCAGTCTAATATGATCAGAATGAAGGCTTTTTTTTTTCCCCGTCCAGACTCTTGTCTCTTCAGTATTCACAGAGATGATTATATCATATACCCTGACAACAGTGCTGCAGCTCTCTCTAGTGTAAGATGTGTTGTATTTTGCAAAGCTTGTTGAGCTTTTTTTTTATTTTATTCTTTTACCTTTTTAAATTGGCTTAATATTTCTTTAAACAAAAGCAAAAGGTCAAACACTTCACTTAAAAGCATCAAAACAGAATGTTTCAGTATGTCTGAAACAAAGCATTGAATTTTGCAAACACTGAAATTAATATATGATGTCTTTATTTAGCAGCCAGAGCTACTAAGAACATTTGACCTAAATGCACAAATAGTTTTGATCCCCTTAGAAACATCATTTTCCAGCAGATTTATTATTTTGCATCTCTGTTTCATAGCTCTATTTTGAAAGTAAAACTAAGAAATTATTTTAAGAGCAAGTAATTTCTTTTTAAGTTAATCATTATTAGTATATTGTAGTTCATATACTAGCTTCTGAAGAGCCCATATTTTGATGCTATCATCAGGTGTGCATTTCAGAGACCACTTATTTTTATAAAGACTTTATAGGCTGTTGAAGTAGATTAATCTTCCTGAGGATTTCAGCCACTGTGGTGCAAAGTGATGGCCACACGGGTGAACGCTGGAGCAGGATCAGTACACCACAGAACTGGCTGTTGGGGTGGAATTAAAGGAGAGCAAGCACCACAAAAATGTTCTGTCATTATTCATGTGAACGTGTAAGTGAATTTGTTTTGGTTGTGTTCATAACCCCTTTATATTCTTTTTATGCCATCTTCCTTGTGCTTGAGGTTTACTGGCATGCAATGTGGATTTAAGGTCAAATGCTCACAAGCTATGAATTTTAAATTTGTTTAGACTTGAGAATTCACACTACATCAGGAGTTACACTTGTTTAAATGTGGGAATAACACCGAACCACAATTAAGTAGCATAACTAAAATTTTGTAATTCAGATAAACCAGTTGTGGAATAAATGGCATTTGCAAAAAGGTCTTTTAAATTAATAAATAGATCTGAGACCATCGGGAGCTATTTCCATGAATGGAAACTGCTCATGACTCTTCAGCCCTCGGCAAGACCAGGAGAGTAAAATGGCAACATTTTCTGTTACTGCTCAGTGTCTGATATTTTTCACTATCTGAGGCCAGTGAATCAGACTTAGGGTACAATTTTGAATCACATTTATAAAAATGTCATAACAATGGCTACTGTTAATATGTCTGGCATTTTTTCTGGTCCTTCTGTTTAACTGTAAGTAACTGTAGCATTGTAAGTCCATGTTTATATGCATAGCCTTATGCTGCACGTAATTTTGTTTAACAGGTTTGCCTGTTTGCCCAGAGCTGACTCGAGAGCACATTCCTAAAACCAGGGATGTGGGTCACTTTTTGTCTGTTACTGGGACGGTCATACGTACCAGTTTGGTGAAAGTTTTGGAGTTTGAACGAAGTTATATCTGCAATAAGTGCAAGCACGTGTTTGTTGTGAAGGCTGACTTTGAACAGTACTATGCATTCTGTCGTCCATCAACCTGTCTTAATGAAGAAGGCTGCAACTCAACCAAGTTCACGTGTCTGTCTGGAACAACCTCTTCTACCTGCTGCAGAGACTATCAAGAAATCAAAATTCAGGAACAGGTAAAAAAAAAAAAAAGATGGAGAAAAAGGGGAGGATATTAAGTTATGGATGTTTCAAGTATGAAAAGGATTAACTTACTAAAGAAGGCATTTGCAGTCTTAATTTCCTGCTGGAATAAGGTAACTCTGCTAATTTTAGTGAAACTGTTCATGCTTACGTCAGAATTAAGTTGTTGATTAGACTTCCATTATTAGGTAACTCCATTCCAGATCATACAAACCACCTGGGGCAGTGCATAGGTTAAATTTCCATGCTGAATCCTTGTAACACCAAGTTTGAGTTGTTTCTCTAAGGACTATAGCTAGCCCAGGGGTGGCCAAGGCCAGCTGTAGTGGTGCAGTATGGTCAATACATAGTGTCTGCAAATATCTTTTCCCTTTAGCCAATATTGAATTCAACAACTATTGAATATGTGCTCCTCACAGAATTTGCATTTGTTTTTCTGAAGGTCGTCCTGGGTGGAAGTACAGCTAAGCTGGAGGAGTAAGAAACTATCGGGCCTCTTTTTAGAGTAGCACATAGCTAAGACAAAACTGGCACAAGAAAATCTACACTGTATGAAAATTGAGAATAACTACGGTATATTGCAGGCAATGTTTCTGTGTTTATTTCTATGTTGAATGTCTTTTTCATAAGTCTTTTCTAAGATCTCTTCAGTTGTTTGAGGCTTTTGATTTTATAAATTAAGAGGATAGGGGTGCCAATCTACATGCAATATGTATGAAAACAGAAATGCATGAAATTAGAAATGAAGCTCTTTAAAGTTCAGAATAGCAAAAAAGTAAGGCAATAAAACTATTTCTAGGAAATAAGCCTATGCTGCATGTTTATATTATGATGGTTTCTGACGTATGGTTTCTATAAGATTTTTTTTTGTTGTTTTACTGTGTGACATACAGATTTCTGTGATGGGAAGGATTTTCAGCAGCATGGGCTTATTAAACACAGTAAGGTTAAACCAGGAATGAATTTCACTCGTGTTTCCTGTTGAGCTCTGCAAGTAACTTTGTATGTGCCACCAGTACTGACAGTGATGTGAACAGCCTGTGGCCATTTAGATAATACACAAGGGTGAATTAACCTTGCTAGGCACTAGAGAGTGAATAAATCTAGAATTCTAGCACATATGACCTGTGCTGCAGAATGAAAAGGTGCTTCTGACTGTTGTTCTTGTGTCATGGATATTCTAAAAACTATTGCAAGCTTTAAGTGTAAACAGAAAGATTGCTGGTTGGAAATAGACTGTGACAAGATTGCATGTGCTTTGCCCTGGAGAAAAGAAAAAGTATTATAGGAGTTACTGGCACATTTGTCAATATACATTTGGCTGGTTGTATGTGATTTGTTTTTTCCTGTTGTTGATTTAAACCTTGACATCTAGGTGTCACAACCTGTCAAATTATGGTTAAATATCAGAAAAATATAGAGAATAATCTTTCAGTATATACTTCAGTGAAGGGCTATCTAACCCATGGACATGCTTCAGTACCCAAAGTAAACGTGGCATATTGAAGAAGCACCTAAAAATATCTCAAATTATTAAAAAAACCCCCAAACAACAGCTCTTTCAAATGACCACTTCTAGTGAGCTTTCTTCAGCAAGATATTGAAATCACACACCACCTCCCAAGATTGAGCAGCTTCTTCTAATTTAAGATCCAATTGCATTCCCATCAATATCAGCATTAAACTTCCATTATTAAGTTCATGGCAGCAGTGGCATCTTTACTGGTTAAGTTTTGTGAGAAAAAGCAAGGACTGACCTCAGTTCCAGGAAAGGAAGGTAGGTCCTCTAAGCCAGAGCAGCTATAAATGGCTTTTGAAGGGTGCTGTTCTTAAGAAGTGCTTTTTCTTCCTGTCCCCAAGGTTCAAAGACTGTCTGTTGGAAGCATCCCTCGTTGCATGGTGGTTGTTCTAGAAGATGACTTAGTGGACAGTTGCAAGTCTGGTGAGGATACAGCATGTACTGCATATGTTTGTACCACAAGCGTTTTTATATTTCTATTTGAGATGAGTCTTTCCCAAGCAGGCTGTTCCCAATCTGAGGGCTTGTTGAATGAGATATGTCCATCTGTCATGTTGCTGTTTCGGCTTGGACGTTAGCATGGCAGCTATTCTAGGAAATGTCATACATTTCCATGTTACATCTTGACTGTTTGACACACCAGTTTCAATAAGTAATGTGTTGTGACATACAGAAAGTATATTAAATCTTGTTAGTGTGGGAACACCAGACCTCTTGAGGAAATTGGTCCACACCATCACATAGCATGTGCTGCCCCTCTTTAGATTCGGAGAGCTAGGTAACCTGACCTCCTATCTAAGGAGTGCTGGAAAAAAAGGTGGAAAATAGGTGGAAAAAGCTACTTGGCATTTGAAAAGGAAGCTAATTGTCAGGAGGATGTATGAAGAATGGACTAAAAGTTCTCAGATAGGCATGTCCCCACAAGAAGTTAATTTCTGACTGTACTTTCTCAGAAGAACACTGTGGCCAGAATGTTAATGAGTGATTCTGGAATTCATCACGAAGGTTACTAGAAGTTCAATAAGTTTTGACTAAATTTTTTGTGTAGTAAATCTAATTGAAAGAAGAGCTTCTGCAGTTTACCATTAATTCCTCTTTGCTAAGAAAGGAAACAAGCAGAGGTATATCTTTAAGAATTCACCTACCTTAAACAGAAGTAGAAAGACATAGCAACTTCCTACCACAGACATAAGCAATCTACCTAATGTTTGGTTTAGATTTCCAGTAACTGAGGGAGGTTTGTTTTTTGTTGTTGGGTTTTTTTAACCTTATTAACGGTAACGCAAGATCTCAATGGCATTATTATGCATTACAGTTGACATATCTCAGGTCAGACGTTACTTTACTAACTTTTGTTGTCACCACCAGGAGATGACATCACAGTGTATGGAGTGGTAATGCAGAGGTGGAAACCTTTCCATGAGGGTGCACGCTGTGACTTGGAGCTTGTTTTGAAAGCCAACTACATTAAAGTAAACAATGAGCAGCTAGCAGGGGTTGTAATTGATGAAGAAGTCCGCAAGGAATTTGAAGACTTCTGGGAAAAGCATAGGAATGATCCCTTAGCAGGTTAGTAGTCGAAAGCTTTTAAGTAGAACACACATTCAGATATAGAGGAAATCAGTGACTGAACACATCTGTCCCCCATTATCCTGTCCCACCACCCATTCCTCCAAAAATATGTTTTTTCCAGAACAGGAATATGAAATTCTTACTTCAATATTACTGGGGGAAAAAGTACCAAAGATACTGCATTGATCTTCCTTCTTTTGAGCTTTCTAGCCAAGTGTTTTGTGGAACATTTATTAACAAGAAATGAGAAGCAATATAAGTTCAGGGGGAAAAAAGAAAAGTGTTTTATAATCAAGAAAGGAAAAGCATACCTCTTAGAAGAAATGGTGCGGACCAGATCTGCTTTTAGTCAGCATAGCTGTTGACTCTGTGGTGAGGGATGTGACTCACTGTCTCTGCATCCCAAATTAAGCTGTGAATCTTTACTACAGAGTTTAGCACATCTCATCTTTAACCTAACTCTTGGATGCCTAGACCTGTGATTTAAGTGCTGTGGAGCCTCCTGGCAAATATGGAGAGTTCCCCAATTCACAGTGGCTTCTAGAACAGCCAGAGTGTTTAGTACACTGGCTTCTAAACTTACCATGGTCTGCAGTCAGCCACCTAGGAATTGGCAGGAGTTGTGTCTGGAACTCTGTCCCTCTCCATAATCCGAGTGCCTCCTCCTGAACCATGGGGAACCACAATGGACTTTTTAGGATCTCTGTCACTGAACTGTCTCAGGCAAACACTCCGTGTTTTAAAACCCTGAAAAGGTCTTAGTCTTTCTTCTTAAAAGACAACATGAGGAAAGGCAGGTGGGAATATTTCTCATGTCAGCTTAAGAATTAGAGCGCTCACATAAGAAATCGGAGATCTTGTCAATGGCAAAGATTCTTCAGAACTGCATTTCCTGGAAAGCAATTTAATTGCTAGCTTCCTGCTGTTTGGAACGAGAATATTTCTTCCCCTTGCTGTTTGGAATGAGAACATTTCTTATCACCCTGGTTAGAACTGTTCAGAAAGTAATTCAGGATCCTTTTTGAAGATCCCATTTAATCTTTCATTCTCAGGACAATTTTAGGAAGCCTGCAGGGAGCAATGTGGTTTTATGCAATATTACCTGTTCAGAACAAATAAATTAATACTAAGTGGCTACAAGAATATTTGGGTGGAAATTAGAAGGACCCTGACTGTCCAAGATGTCTGTTTCAGTCTGTTTGTCTGAATCTGAGTCCCCTTAGGTGAGGGCAGGAATCAAATTTGACTAACGAGTCTAAGGTACAAGCCATTTCACAACAGGATGTATGTACATTTACTGTTTTTCAAGAGATAATGGCAGTTACTACTGCATTTTATGTCAGTCAATTCCCGATGCTGTGTATTTAGTGTCCTGACAAAGTCTACCATGGCAGGCCTCTGAGAGAACTTATGCAAGTGACTTTGTTTTCTGGATACTATCTAGGAAGAAGGAGAACTGCTGCTTAGCTCTGCCAAGGCAAATGAATCTGAAGGCAAATAAAGGCAACTGTGGAGTTAAATCTTGAGTTATGCTATGGCTGACCAAAGTTTTTAAAATTTTGGTTTGGGACAAAAATGTGTTAATTCCCTCAGAAGATCTCAACAAGAAACATATATACCTCAAGTCATCTATTAGGTGCTTACATATTTTGCCAGTACCATGTACTTGCATCTAAATTTGATCTGTCTGTTTTATTCCCTAGCAATGGGAGTACTGTGTGGCATCAAACCTGTGATCCCTCATGTGCTGTTAGTGTCAGAATCTCAAGAGGCAGAATTAATTCTGTTACGCACCTTGCAAGCCAATAACATTATCATAGCAGACTGAAATATTCTGTTGCTGGAAAGAGACTATGGTAGGGAGGAGGAGAGGGACCTTTGGCACAGAAGTGTCAAAGGAGAAGGAGATTCAAGACGAAGATGAGAAAATGAGCCATGCTATGGCTGCACAGGTTTAGGGCAAAATACTTTAAGTGTTAGATGTTTTCTTAGTTCTCTTAAATGTACAGCACACCAGTCTTCAAGTGGTTATTTGGAAGTTTGGACATTTTTAAGTTTTACTCTTCATAGCCCCTACACTTTTACCTGTGAAACAAAAGAATTTGCATCATGGCATTTCGTTAGTGCCTTTTTTCATTATATCCAGATCATACATTCCTTAAATTGTGATAGGATTGGCTTTGCTGCTTGTGACTGTGGAAGACTTAACTTCCTTATAATGAAGGAAGTTTGGATCAAACAACTGCTTTGGGTCCCATTTAAAAAAAAAAAAAGTAGAAAAAAATCTCCTCCCTACCCTGTTCCTCTTAGTCAGGAAGCAGACCCAAATTATTTGTGAGTGGACGCAGGACTATGGACATAGGACAATTATTTGTCAGTGTATATAGGACTTTTAAGTGTACATAGGAGTCTGTGGGAAATCAAATTTTACTCTTAGGGCAGTGCTGAGTGCTATTTTTTCCTCCTGTTCTAGGGAGGAATGAAATTTTGGCTAGCTTATGCCCTCAAGTTTTTGGATTGTACCTGGTGAAGTTGGCTGTAGCCATGGTGCTTGCTGGTGGTGTACAGAGGACTGATGCTACTGGAACTCGAATCAGAGGTTAGTATTGTTTCTTATAGTATCACATCCTTTCTAACAGTTGTTCCCATCCCTGTCTTCACCCACATCCCTCCCTTCCCCGCTCCAAAATCAAACCAGTAAGGTTTCGGAAGCATAATGATCCCATTTTCTTGAGTGAGAGCAATTTTTGATTAATGCTGAGTATTCTTCAAGAATCTCAGACAAATAAAGTGGGTGTCTAGACTTCCTCTTTTTATTTTAATTTTTCCCAAATAAAACCCACTAAAAGCAGGTGTTCAGGATTCCATTAGGTAGAATATTAAAGGCAGTTGTTTTAGATAAAACATAAACTCACTTTTTATTGTTTGAGTGACGTTTTGAAATGATTTCTAGTAGAATATTCCCAGCAGTATTTGGCATCAAAGGATGGAATATTAATGTTTCCTTAATGTAGATGACTATAGTACATTGAAAGGAAAAATTAAAGGATTCATTTTACTTCCTAATGCCAGACTTTTCCATCTGTGATTGTCAGCACATCTCAGTTCTGTTACTGTAAGTTATCTGCCTGCTGATTCTCCTTCTGTTGTTATTAGATGGCAAATATGCCACGTGCCAGGTGGTACGCAGGTCATAATCTATGTAGGTCATAATAATTCTAAAATAATATGTGTGTATGTACAAATACAGGATTTTCTTAATGCTCCAGCAGCTAAATAAAGTTATAGGCTTTATATTTGAAGCTGTATTAATGTTTTGTAGAAGACAATGAAATAATTTTAGAACACTTCAGTGAGATTGTAGTAGTCAAATTATTTACTTCTGTAATTGCATTGTTTTGATATTACTAAATTGTGTAACTGTTGGCAGTGTAACAGAATTAGTTAAGAAAAACAACCTGCTGATTTTATTAGTCCTTCTCACAATAATTTAAGTAACTGAATAGTGGACAATAATTTAAGTAACTAAATAGTGGAATGATAACTAAACCATGGTATCCTTCTGTTTCATGTTCAAGCATGAGTTGAGTATTCTGAAATCTAAGAACTCACTTTAGGGAAGGTGTGTCAAATACCTGTTAATACTTTCAAAATATTTCATTGTAAATATTTGGTTTGGGTGCAGCAATATGACTGGATGCTTTTATTAAACAGAATATTTATCACACCAAATAAATAGTGCAGTCTTAAACAGAATTATAGATAATTATGTATATGTAGTACTAAACGTTAGGTGAATAATAAGAAGTATTATTTAATGCAGAGCATTTTGTGTATATCTTTCTCTGTATATGAACCGTCTACTCCTACGTCAATGTTTTCCCTCAAGGTGAATCTCATCTTTTGTTGGTTGGAGACCCAGGTACGGGGAAATCTCAGTTTCTCAAGTATGCAGTAAAGATAATACCACGGTCTGTGCTTACTGCAGGAATTGGATCTACAAGTGCAGGTATGTGCTTCCTCAGCTGGAACACTTTACTTTTTTTGCTGGAGTATATTTATCTAGAGGCCTTCTACATAGATGAACATATGTGCTTATGTTGTATGAGCACAGTTGAAGCAAAGAACTGCCGTGGAGGCCTATGAGGCCTAACATGACTCTCTGCAGAAGGGCAGTCCTGCCCTTTCTTCTGTATCAGTGAAGCAGTGTGATGAGCTTCGAACAGGGATCCTTACAAACCTCATCCAGAGGCATCTCTCACTGTTTTGTTAGCAGAGGATGATCTGGACCTGTATTTTTAGTGTTCTTCCTAGCTATGACAAATCTGACATCTTTCCAGGGCTCACACTGTGTGATGGGCTAGCATCACTTGCTTTCTCCTAAACAGATACTCTCCTCTCTTCTGTTCTTCTCTATGTTCTGGCTGGGTGCCAGATTGACTTCTGCTTACTTTCTGGAAATTCACCCCTGTGCTGAGGAATTATGTCTTACTCATAAAGATGGTTTCAAGATGGTTTCAGAGTTGGGTTTTTTCGTTTCTTTCTTTTTTTTTTTTTTCCCTTTGTTAAATTTAGGTGTGTCCCAGCTGGCTCTGAATGCCAGGTATCTTTACAAACTCTTCTGGGGACAATGTGCAGGGTCAAATTACCTCTGCAAATGATTTTATTTGAGCAAATGACTGTATTACTAGCACATTCAAAATCACAAAATAGTTAGGGATAACCCACAGTGTCTCAGCTAGCCTGTGAAACTTGAATGTTTCTCAGATAGTGCTGTTTTTCATTTTATGTCTGGGAAACAGCATTATTTCTACATGGGAAAACCAGCAAATAAATCTTTTCCTGTTCCGTAGCTATGTGTATGTGTGTATACTGGGTCTCCCTTAGCTGTGGAAGTGGAACATGATGTTGAACATATACACTCTTGTGTGCAGGGAACTAGTTATGAAACACATATGCCTCTGGTTTTCCATTCAAACTGTTGACAAATAGGTCTGGAGAGAAGCCAGAGAGAACATTTTGTCTCAGCATAACCTTTCTCCACCCTTTGTTCTGTGTTAAGAACTGAGAACAGGCTGGGTAATTTAAATTTTGCTAGGGGACTGACAGTGACCTGGAGTGAAATTTTGCCGTGCATTTCAATGCCTTGCCCACTTTTGTCAGTAGTAATCTCCCCGTGTCAGCTGCTCTTGGCCTCTGATGTTGCTGTTGCCTTCCTCACTACATCCCCCTGCTGCGCTTCATTTTCTGTATGATCTGGTTTCCAGCTCTGCCATGATATTCAGGTTCAAAGACATTTCCCTGAAAACCAATATTGCAGTTTACAAGCTTACTGTGGTATGTGTGCCATAGAATCAGCTGTAATGATATGTGAAGATGGAATTTCACCTTGTGAAAGGATTGGTTTGGGTCCTTTGGATCTTCTACCTTTCACTTAAAATACTCCTTATATTTTAAAAAGCTTCTCCCTCTCCTTGCTCCCGCTGCTTCTTCCTGAAATCTGACAGCAGGTGCACCAAATTTCCACCTTGAAATTCTTTAGAACCCTTATCACAAGTGAAACTTGAGTCTCTAGCAAGAAATCTTACTAACTCTAGTTTAATTTCAGGGAACCTTTTCATGGTTAGAACTGTTGGACTGAAGTGTTAATTTCTAGCCCAGGAGTTTGGATGTTGTTTGAATTATTTTCTTTGCCTTCCCTGTGCAAGGACTGTCTTACTTATGAATGTGTCTATAACTGTACCTAACATTGATTTTGTCAACTTGCTTTCTGTGCAGAGGCTCCAAATGATGAGTTTAGAGAATTATTAAATTGTTTTACTTTCTTTGTTGTAATTTCACACTTCAAATTACCAGTTTCTACTTTCCCATGAGAGGAGCGTCCTAATACACATTTTTCCCTCCAGGGTACAAAGACTAAATCCATAAGTTCTACTTTCAGCTAGCTCCTTACTTTATATAAAAAGCAGTCTGGATTGTAGTTTAATTGCTGGCTCTGGGATTACTGTCCACATAGGCCAAAAGACACACCTGAGATTTGGTAAACCCTGGAGAAGTGCTAAAAGCCATATTACATTTGGATTCCTCTTTTAGAGAAAACTGCTGATATCTAACCCACCTTTGGTAAGATCTTGTGCATTACCACGTCTTGTAACCTTTACACATCCCATACTGGTTTAGGACACGAGCTATTTATCAACTGTAGAGTTAGAATTCTGCTTCCAAAACTGTCTGTCACATCAGTTTTCCCTGGTTTTCTGTATAAGCATTTATTGGTACCAGGACAGCCTGTTAGATCATTAACATTCTCCTTGTGCCAAAATTCCCTTTCTTTCCTACTTTACCTTACGTATCATGTTCTTTGAGATCCACTGTGATCCCTTGGGGCCCTGCGGTGTCATGTTAGGTCCATCTGGACCTAACTGGAATTGCCTCGCAGAATTTCAGAAAACAGCGACCTAACTCCACAGCTTGATTTGCTGTTGCACCTCTGCTCTTTCAGTCAGGTTCCTGCCTCCCCCAGCGCTTTTTAAACAAAGTCTGTGCTTCATCAGATGGGTTTTGCCTGATTCAGTAAGTTTGACCCAGGGTAACACCCTGCTTTCTTGTTCGAGTGAATCGGCATGGAAGATCTTCATCTTTCTTATTTCACCAACAGGCTCAAGTCAACCGCTTGCTGCAAACAGTCCTTACAAATGACCAGTAATTTTTTCTCTGTTGTGGGTAAAAACATAACTTTACCTCCACTCTCTAGATATAGATAGCATTTCTGAGTTCACATCTTTTATTAGGTTGCTTTTCTTGTGAACACTTAATAGAGATTTTCTGTTGAGAGTTCTCTGCAAGTTTTATGACTTTTATGAGGAACTGGGGCTTGTTCCTCCCAAATCTCTTTAGTGAAAGTTGGCAGCCAGAAGGCCAACCCACATTCCACAACTCAGTGGCAAAAATTTCTTCGTCCTCTATAGGACTTTCTGATTTGTAAATAAAAGACAGGGGAACCATCTGTCCTACTGCCTGGTTCTGTCTACACAGTGTTTAGTTTTTGTAAAGGCCTGGTTCATTCTCCCCCTAGCCTCTCATCTGAGAATTACAGGGAGTCATTCAGGTACCTTTAATTTTTATAAATTGGTATATAGTTTTCCAGGTAAAAAAGAGACTTAGTGAGGTTTAACAAATTCTCTCTGATGGTTCCCACCTTACCACTGAGTTTAACCAACTGTTTTGCAGTCCCCAGAGCTGTAGTGCTGCTTATGCATAATTGGATAAGATAATCACTAGTAAGAAAATATTTCATTTTCCCCTGGAGCTTGAGATCTGTGGCGATCAATTGAGTCCATAGGGACAGGAACCAAGACATGCCTGCTGCTGGCGGGTCTGGAGCTTGTGGACATCAGGGCCAGAGTCATTCTGCTGCTTCCTGGTGCGTATTTGGCTGTTCACATTTCTGCAAAGTTTTGTTTGGTGTTGTGTCCCTCCACAGATGGACTGCCTAAAGAATTCTGTGAACTGTATTTAGGACAGCTTGTCTAAAAACCTGGGAGACTATCAACTGTTTCTCCAGCTCCCCAGTTCTGTACAATACGCCTTCCTGAGCTGTATGAAATGCAGCCTTCCGACCTCTCCCCTTACAGCCTCTACAGAGCCCTGAGAGTACTGCCTTTTTGCTGACATTTTGCAATGTCTAACATTGTCCATATCATGCCAACAGCAGTTTGCTACTATGTTGGTTTTTTTTTTTCTTTTCATTGAAGGCAACTAACTCAAGGGGAAACCACCATTCTCTTTTTTCAGAGTAAGCCTCTCCCTGCTAGGCAGGCTTCAGGTGCTAAGAGGCTTCAGGTCTCTCTGATCCATTAGACACCAATTCAAAGTGGCTGACGTGAGCCACCCAGCTACGGTAATGAATAAAGAACATGGTGTTAGTATCCTGAGGTACACAAGACACTGAAACTGGAGACATTTTTCCCTGTTTGTAGATCCCCAAACTGTCCCTGAGCATTCCCTAGTTGATACAGGCCAAGGGAATGCCAGGGAATCCACAGTTTTCCACTGTGGATCCATACCCTGGCCCTGATAGAGATGCAGCCTTTAGGCCACTCTTCTTGGATCTTCACTGCTACCACAAGATTCCTCATTGTTTTCCTGAATAATCATCATTATACATGAACTTGAAGTATTTTCTATCAGCATGTACCTTGAAAATACTTTCCCGAGAGCATGACTTCATTGGCTGTTCCTTCAACAGCTGGGCCTCAAACTGAAGAGGCCTTAACTCTGCAGGAAGTCTGCTAGACTTCTTCAAGGAATGAATTTTGAAGTTGTGATCAAACCTCACCAGAAATACGCCACATCTGTAACAATGTCTCATCTCTTGCAGATCCTTAAATTCCCTTAATTTCCACTGAATAATGCTGCTCCAAGATAGCTTTGTCCTGAATCAGAGCTGGCCTTGACTACCTGCATGCAAAAGATTATTTAACCATGTAGATATCTGTCGTCAGAAATTTTGGTCTGTTCATACATCTGTATCTGAAGACCTGTAGTTAGGATGGACAGGAACTACTGCAGGAGCAACATCATCATGTTGGCTGGAGGTTTCAGGTCTTCCACGCTTTTGGCAAAATACATCCAGGCAGGCCTTCATCAGACTTTTTTATCCTGCTGTTGAAATGGCAAACATTTCAAGCAGTTGATTTCAGGATGGATATCACATGTCTTCAGGATTCCGTTTACCATACCATAAAGCCCCTGCTTCTTCCCAGTTTGTATCAGTGTAGGTCTGCCACACCTTTCTAGTGACATAGGACAAGCTGGAGGACCCCCTTATGTTGAAAGGTAGCCCTCCTTTTCTCGTGGTCCAGGGGTGTTTTGGAGGGAGACCCAAGAACTCCTGAAAAGTTCCTCACATTTCAGCTAGTTCGTAGCACTGCTGTTACCACGTAGCTGTTGTCTCTCACTTTGGGTGTAGCCTTTTGTACCATGCACCTCCATCCTGATTTTCTCCAT